GAAATTTATTGATCCTCTAGCAATACGTATGGCGTAGCGCCCTAGTGTACGAGATGTGCGACCATATTGCTTATGAGTGCGCCTTGCGGCTGCAATTCCCTCTAATTCATACAACAATTACCACTCAACAAAGGTTTAACTGGTGAACAAACCAAATGCTTGTCTTAAAACGAGAGGTACTGTGTCTAGAAGACTGACAATTAGGTAAAATATCACGCTTATGGGTTAGACAGAATATCTTCGGAAATTCTTCTGTCACGGATGCACGCATAAATTTTATATGTTTCTGCTATTTACTAAAAGTGACAGCATTTATATTTAAAAACCATAGTGTTTGCTCTCGAAAAAATAACGAGAGCAAATGGAAGGAAAAGCGGTGTCTTTATTCTTACTACATTCCTTGACAAGACCCATCGATCAAGCGCAAAAAATGAAACTGTACTTGTATAAATTTGAACTACCCGTGGCTATTCGTGATTATGATTTATAATAGCAGGTAATTAACAATATTCGAGACAGAAGTCAGTATTCAGCAGGTTGAACAGTCGAACAGTCCATGTTATGCTTGTTGAAGATCGATGCCGGTAGGCTGAAATACCATTGGTCAGCTGTTTTTAATATTCTTCGTCTTGAACAGCCAGAAGGAGTTAAATTTATACAAGAATAACTTTGCTTGTTCCAATCTGAGTCACAGGCCTGGTTAAAGAAAGTAAGGAGCATAAAGACCCTACTTCCACTTCCAGTGGTCATCGTTGCTTTTTATCAGAGCAAGCAGCATGATTTTTTCATGATGTTTTCAGGAAATGACAGAAACAGTAGTTCTTGAGACTTTTGATTGGGCTTGCAGTCGGACCGTATCTCATCTAAGCTGATTAGCATTCGTAACGCAAGGGGTCTTCCTATCCTTGGTTGTCACTGTTTTTTCTGTTGACACCCAACAGGGATTCGTGGCTGACCATCATGACTGCCAGAGTGACTGTAGAACATATATTAAGCTGCAATTTATCCTGACACGTGACTCGATGTGTTTGTCGTTCGCTGTCTGTCCTGGACTCGGGCTTAGTTTTAGTGTTAAGTTTTTTGATCGTCCGTTGAGGTGCTTGCATTATCAGAATGTTTATGATTCATTATGTCCGCTGCATTTTTTAATAATTTTGTTATGAAGCACCGGTCTCTGCATCGCAGAAGAAGCAATAGCTGTCGTAATGCAGATCTGCCTCCGCTTTTACTAGCTGTGCCGCATGATGACCTCCCGGTCGACATCGTTCATATTTTGGTTCCAACATGAAAAGTTTGCGAACGATTCAGTTTACTTACTATAGTCTAGATTTAACCTTTGCTAGTAATACTAATTCTTAGACGAGAATAGAGTCTGTCCATACATTTTTCTTCCATTTATCCTTAATTTCTCATTTACATGCTTTGATGTGATTGACGACAAAAAAGTTTAAATTCAAAGTTTAGTTCCAGAATATATCAACTGAGTTAACATAAATTGTGTACTGTTTTAACAGTCATTAATTATGCTTTTATATCTCCTTACTGATATAATTACCATTGACACGCGGCTAATTGTGAGGACTGGATGACGCTCAATACTACATTAGCGAAATAGAACCGAAAATGACAGCGACATGGGATCATCGTCAGCGTCCACAGTAGAATACTTAAATTTAGGTTTAAGTTTTTGTACTTCCCAGAATCGAAGCTAATTTCAACTAAAACCAAAGCCTTGCGTAAATCCTGACGAAGCAGCCCTGTGTCGTTGACGTTATAAGACTGTGGTTTACGCTGTGTTCGTAACGCGCGTTTTTAGCAGTTCAAAAAAGCGCTGCGAATGGTTCGTAAGCTCGACTGCAAAACCCTCGGATCGCAAATCAGGGAACGTGCCAGGCGAGAGCGCCGCCGGAAACTGAAAGCTAAGAACAGGGTCGCCGTCGCCGCCACCACCGCCGAGAGAAACTGGGCGAAGCCGGAAGCGGGAAAGCCTCAAAGCGCGTGAGAGCAGAACTAGCTGAGGCGAGGCAAGACGAGGCGAGGCGAGGCGATGAGAGGCGAAACGAGGCGAGGTGAGGCAAGCGACGCGACGCGACGCGACGAAAAACGAACGAGAAGAAGAATCGACGACGTCGTCGTTTATTCTTAGTGGCTTTTTGCCTACAAACCTGTCTATGCTCTGAATCTTTCTCTGTCCCCCCTCTTTCTCTCTCACCTTTCCTCGTCTTGTCCCGTCTCGTTGCTGCCTCCTGTTCGTTTACTGTTCCACTCGCATGTACATTTCGGGTGTTTCTTTTCTGACTTTCTGTTTCTTCTTTGTGTTCTCTCGTGCTTCTTTTTGTGTGCAGCTTAACGGTGATTTTCAATCAAATCGATTGACTGACTGGCTTCTGAGTGCTTTTGCATATAAATACCTCGACAGTGTTGCTGTTCATTTCATGAGAAACGAGCTGAAAGAAATATTGTGATTCGTCGTCGAGTTTGCAGCTGGTTGTAAAGACATGTTTTGTGTCGGTCAAACCGTTGCGCGTACTGTTGTATTTTATGTGTTTGAAGTACATGAACGGACTATAGACCAACTGTTGTCTTTCTCGTCTTTTTCCCTCCCTTATGTTAAAACGGAGGGCCCGCAAACGTCATCCCGTTGAGATTTAGCCTTGCCGGTAACTTGCTTAACCATTCGTCCAGTCGGACAAACTCTGGAATCCCTGTTCCACGGTCAGGAGACAATCTAGCCAGCCAACCATGACAACGGACGCAAGCAAATCTCTACAGGACAGGGGGGAACTCGGCTAACAGCTATCATTGGTTGTAAGCAGGAAATGCTGTTACTGAAACTAATGCCCGACATCGGCGGCACCAAATAGAATTTACGAGCACGGTACACCCAACTGGCTTTTACTCTACGCAATCCCTCCGTCCTCATTCGCTAATCACTGGCTTCAGCGAAAGTTCCCGATAATCCTTTAGCAACATGAAATTTTTGCTAGCCCCTAAATTTGCTCAAAGATCAGAAGCAGTTACATTTGTATGATAACTTTATCCAGCATCGAACGCTGAGTCAAAACTACTGACTAAACATAAGGCTTTCTTTTCGGCTTGTTCGGCAGCAACTCTACTCCTTACTCGCAATCGAAAGTTTTGGTACCTCACCGCCAGTGCCAGGAGTGACAGTAAGGTTTTTTAGGTAGAAGAGAAACAAGAATGGACTCATGGATTACTCAGTCGCAGAGGACTGACCACGAGCAAGAAATTAAGTCACATGACAAAACGAAGTGTGGGTGAATGCATGCTCTAAGGAAACTACGATAACAGTGTAAGCTTCCTATGAAACCTGAAACGATCAACTGATCGAGCAGTGCATCTGAGAATTGCAGAAATCTGTATGAATTTCCAAACAGTTCTGTCTCAACGGCCGTTGCACAGCAGCCCTGCTTCGTCACTTGCCAAAGCTACTGACACAAATTCGATCTACTTAAGTGTCTGCCAGGAAACATTAGAAATTTCCAGTTCTCAGAGGAATTGAAATGCTCAGTTCCAGGATCGCAAGAAGCGAATGACATTGTAGAGTATAACGAAAAAGCACGATCTTCTTCTTCATCTTCCATCGCCGCTTCTCCTTTCGGGTCGCGGAGGCAGACGCGTCAGGCAGTGCTTCCAACGCTCCCGATCCTGTGCCAGAGTCTGAGCTTCGGCAAAAGACAAATGCAGTCGGGAACGGATTCCTTCCATATTTTTGCACCAGGTTAATCTTGGCCGTCCCCTGTGTGCGAAAAAGCACGAACAAAATAGAGTTAAGTATGAGGTTAAGAAATCGAAACTTGCTTCACGTATCACGCTGTTCTTCCTCATTATTGATTTGACACTGTCTGCTAACAGATACTGAGCTATTCATGCCGTTCTCACATCGAATTTATGCATCTGCCGTGGACTGCTACCGTTGCATTCCTGACTGCGGCCCAAAGGCACACCACAGGACAGGTGAACGAAATAGCTTGCGCAATATACCCCCGATTAGATCCAGACAACAGAACTGAAATATACATGAACGCCGCCATCGACACAAGCCACAGCCAACTGCCCACAGTGTGGCTATGAAGACTCGGAGAAAACACTCATCATGTAAATTCAGAGTTGGGAACTGGAGACCATCAAAATCGCCAAAAGGGCATGAGTAATT